ATCGTATATTATCACTGTCTCTTGTATTCAGGGAAGTAACCGACGTAGAAAGGGGGAAGGATGTTCCATGTTTTGACGTGATATTGCACCAGGGGGGGGGGAGAGGGGGGGGGGAGGGGCGGAGAACATCAAGAAGAACGGGCCTGATTCATGATTCCTTCTTTGTACCCGTAAAAAAAAAAGAGGAAAGAGAGAGAAGCTGGTGGTATACGATACTGATATCATCTTACGGTAAGATCATATTACCTGGACAGAGACTCCCCCACCTCTCGCACTATCATGATGCTATTGGCGGTGACTCTCTCCTATGGCTGCCGGGATCCCTCCTCCAACACCACGGCCGTATGACCCGTGAGGAGCAGCAGCAGCAGACAGGCCTAGTTCACTCCTGTTACCGCCGACACACAGGTGAAGATGCAATACAGATTAGAGGAGTGATGGGCGACGTACGGAGCACACGGAGCGTTTTTTCCGATGTGTCTCTCATGGAAAAGCGGAAAAGCTCCCGCTTTTCCTTTCATCTTATGCCAATTGCCAATGCTATTTCTCTGGGGCCCTGTCAACGCCACATATGAAGCCTTTGACCATCTCTAACCAATTACAGATTATACGGGTTATACATGTACTCGTACTGTGTGAGCGACCGTAAGGTAATTTTGTGTCACAAATGTTCCTCCGCTCCGTACCTGCCATGTTAAGGGTACGAGTAGACGAGATGGAATATATGGAATTCCATGTGGCAAGGTAAAGGAGTGAAGTATCATGTAATGATATCGTGGATGACAAAGAATCAGCCCTGATCATTGTCGTCACAACCTGGCGTTTCCCAGTATCTCGCTTGCTAGATGTCTCCCATACGCGCCATGTGATTTGTTATAGTTCCTCGTTCGACGGCTCCTTTGCCTATAATAGACCAGGTCCTCTGTTTACCGACATGTACCTGTAATAACGTGGGCTCTCGTCTACTGTAGACCTGCCCTCCGAAAGGGGGGGTGGAGAGGAACCCCTTTCACGGCCATCATCATCATCATCACGAGTCATTCATGGTAGTCGTGGCAAGAATCAGTCTCATCCTTTTCTTCTCTTCTTCATCCATCTCTATTCCTACCATGTACTGATACACACCCGACTACTGATCAGAATCAGACACATGGTGGGAGAAGAGCGAGAGAAGTGGTGCGATGCTTCGGCATAGCCATACAGGAACACGTTAGGTCTAGGCATTCTCTTAACAGGAGGACGTATCCTCAGAAACCTATACACGTACGCCCCTGACTCCTCTACAATCAGATCCCAAGTGCAGAGCGCAAGTTCCCGTTCTGGTCTACAGTCGCCCCCGTCGGCCTCTCTCCAGGAGTGGCTTTGCTGGTCCCCCCTCGGAGGACTTCTTGTCCTCAACAAGCTTCCGACCCTGTCCTCTGGGATGGCTGCTAGTAGCTCGATTCGATAGAGGACTTGCGTACGAGTACCTCTATACCGACGTAGCTACTCACGACAGATGCGAGCAGCAGGAGGCGCCAACTTTGATTCACATGATTTCAGTTTCTCCGGAGCAGTTCTGCACTCGTGCCTGTAGAGTCGGGTCCCCACACAGAAGGGGCCGAGAGGACAGTAGAAGTCACTGGTCAATACCGAGCATGAAGCCGGTTCTGGGCAATGCCATCATAATAGGTCGATACGTCGTACACCGTTGGGGCCTTGAGCGCCCCCCCCCCCCCCTTTCCCTTAATGAAATCGATACCACTTACGAAATCGGGGCTTCCACCGCTAGAGAAGAGAAGCCATCATGTTTGCCCCCCTCCCCCCTCCACGATCACTTCCATCTAGCCTCGGTCTCTGTAAAAGCAGTAAGACTATTGTGATCCGGTACCGATGCATTGCCGGCCGTTTTCGTGCCTACGTTGACAAACTCTGCTATATCGTCCCATAGGAGCTTGCTCTGCTACCATCGCCCACTGTCTTGCTACGCATCCAATTTTTCTCATTTATCCCCATCTCCGGTCTGCTTGTGATGTTACTGAGTGGGTGGGGGGAAGGGGGAAGGTGTGTGAGGGGACAGTCTAGGTATGACGGGTATGTGGGTTGTAGGGAGTGCGTGTTCAAAAGGGAATAGAAGCTGTAAAAAAAAAAAAAAACCGCTTATAGTAGTGATAGCAGTATACAGCCTCAGTCCTCGCCTCGCCTGCCATCACTGCGCCTTTGTTCGGGGGCTTCAGATGTCTCGGGGGATACAGCAGGGGTTGTAGGTAGTAGGAGTTCCGCCTGCTTAATAAGGCCCCAGGCATCCCTCGGGCTTGGAGCTGCTCGGATGCGGCGCAGTATCTCGTAGGCCTCCTCCTCGGGCTTGTCCCTGAGCAGTTGGAAGAGTTCCTTGTACTGGTTGTTTTCGCTCTCGAGCTCAGTGACCCTCCGTCGGAGGGCGAGGGTCACGGTCTCACCGGCCTCGGCCACGTATTCGCATCCTTCCCCTCTGGTGACGCATTGGTTGCAAGAAGGCCTCTGTCCTCCGCACTGTTTTTAGGGCCAATGCCCCTTTAGCGTCAGCAAAGATACCATAATCACTGCACGATGGCCTTATGAGGTCAGAGAGCAGGGACGGACAGGGAGGGGGTGAGAGGTATGGGGACGAATGTGCATCCGCCCTCTCTAGGGCCTGGATCAGAAGCTGCCTCACCTTGATCCGCTTGCGCCGGCACCCTTGGCATGCCACCAGGACTGCTGAGCGTTTCGGGGGGGTAAATTGGCTTGCGCTCGTGGCTTGCACAGCGAAGCTGACCCCTTCCCCTGCGGGAAGGATGGGGACGAGGTTCGATCCACGCCCGTGATTCATCAACGTTAAGCCACAGGTGTCCGTAGAATAATGAAGGAGTATCCTGGATTCCCGCTCGTATCTTTGGTTGGGCACCTGTATGATTCTCCGCTCCCTCTTCGTACTGCCGTGTACTGAGAGTTGGGATGACGGTGTGTTTCCCTCTGTGAGGTTTTGTATTGCATCACCTCCCGCCTCACGGGACGATAGGTGTACGTGGGGTTCGGCTTTTCAAACTTCTGATTAACACCGAAGGACAGTGTTGTAGAAGAGACATGAAGAGGAAAGGAGGAGGATGCGCCGAAGATCGAGTCGTTGGAGTTGTGTGGCCATCAACCGGTTGGGTGGGCTGCCCTGCAGTTACTGCACCGTAGCTCCCTTTGCTTTGGTTAGGGAGAAAGAAGTAAAAATAAAAATAAAAATAAAAATAAAAAGGAAAAGGAAAAGGAAAAAAAAAGTAAAAAGGAAACACCGACTCGGAATGGTGTCTACTGCAGTGGATATTGTCATGAATGGTGATGTGGAAACAGGATCATGGCTTTGCCCCCCCCCCCCCCCCTCGATGAATACTCGTGCCGCCGCCAATACGCCATGTGTATTCTGTCCGTGGTATTAATGCCCGGCGCTGTGCGAGGCTCCCGCGTCCCGTACCATACTTGTACGTGCGTCAGATGAGCCCTGGTCCCTGGCTTTTCGTGTATCCCCCCCCCTCCCCCCACTCCCCCTTCATGGTGTTGTTTCCCACGTAGTCTCTGTTGTGCTCATACATGTATGTACTGTATGTACTCCATACGGAACGATACACTCGCATGTACTTCATGTACTTGGGCCACTTACACTCATAGCACTCCTAGTGGAGCAGCAGTATTGCCCGCAATATCTGCACTCGTTACATGGTTCCGACCACTGAGGTTGCTTCTTTCAAAGCTTTCGTCGAGTTTTTTTTCATCGGCTGGTGGCCTTGTCTCGGAACGGGCTCCGGAACGGTGGCCGAGGTTCATCGTCCAAGTTATCTCTCTTATTGCCTTGCAAACCGAGTCCCCGCGTGGAAGGACGACAAGCTCACGCACGCCTAGATAGGAAGACGACGTGGCTTGTGGTGGGACCGTGTTCAGTATTGATACCGTCATCGGGGATCCTGGCCGTTGGGGTATGATGATGCCCATGCGGACTAATGATTGCAGCACAGCACGCCCGAAGACGACATGACAATGCAAGAAGACGAACGATCAGCAAGCAATGAAGAGACGAGCAGAGTTTTTTCTTCTTCCTTTGTATTTGCAGGCAGAGAGGCGAGATGACGATGATGCGGTCAAGCCTAGAGTATCCATATGAGATACGACGGTAGTGCTCTGTCATGGAGGAGGAAAGAATGACTGATGTCAGTGGCAAGGCTGAACTACCGGCAATGAATCAATCCAGTTCGACAGCCTGAGTAGTATTAGTAATAATCCACTACTACTATTGGCTCTCATATAAGGTCAATCTGGCATCTCCCACGGACCAAACGCTCCTTGCCCGAGTCACTTTGACACGAATTATTAAAGGAGGGATTTCCGAGTGACGCTAAAGCGTGAATCCTCTCTCTCTTGCCGGTATCATGAAATCTCCCCAATTCTTGTTGTCGTACAAGTAAGACACGCAGTCTTGAAAGATGGTACGTACCTAAGTACTGGGGCTGACCGACCCCGCCCTTGACAGTTGGCCCCATATTTTACTCCCCATTAGGCTCTCGACTAGTAATAATATGGACTCTACATGTATGACCGATTTTTTTTTTTTTTGGATTTTCTTTTTTGTTCATGTCCATCACCGCCAACAACAATCAACCTGTCTGCCTGTCCCTTCGACTCCCGACACAATATCCACCTTTTCCGCCCGGTTGACAGCTCCTGGTCTGCGCCAGCTCGACTCTTGGTCTTATCATTTTTCTGCTACGAAGAGTAAAATACCTCGGTGGCGAATACATTCCGTAGCCATGTCATCGATGCGAAACGCCGTCCAGCGACGGCCTCATCGTGAGCGCGCCCAGCCTCACGAGCGCCGTCGCCTCGGTCTCCTTGAGAAGCACAAGGTCAGTGCCTCTCCGAGATCCTAACACTGTCGTCCCATCCCCTTGTGCTGTGCTGATCATCTCTATACAGGACTACTCTCTACGTGCCAAAGACTACAACAAGAAGAAGGAGCAGCTCAAAGCTCTCCATCAAAAGGCGGCCGAACGCAACGAAGATGAATTCTACTTCGGGATGATGTCCCGCAAGGGGCCCGGATCGCGTATCAAGGATGGACGCACCTGGGACGGCAAGATCCACGGGGACCGCGGTAACTCGGCTATGGACATGGACACGGTCCGACTCCTAAAGACCCAAGACATGGGCTACATCCGCACGATGCGCCAGGTGGCGATGAAGGAGGTGGCGAGGCTTGAGCAACAGGTTGTCCTGACTCGCAGTCTAGACCGTCTAGATGACGAGGAGGAGGAGGAGGAGGCTGCCGAGGATGGTGACATGTTTGGTATGCCGTCGAAGCCCAAGCCGGCAAGGAAAACCGTCTTCTTCGATGACGTGGATGAGAGAGACGACGTTCTGGACAGCATGGACGGTGATGACGAATCCGGAAAGAAGGCGAAGGAGGCAAGAATGGCCGAGGAGGGAGAGGCCAATGACCAAGACAAGGATGCCGAACGACTCCAGCGCAGACTACAGAACGCCCGCAGGCGACTGGCTGTCCTTACCAACGCCGAGGAACAGCTCAACATCCAGCAGGCCAAGATGGCCAAGACGGCTACGTCGGGAGGGGAGACGAAAAAGGGAGACAGGATCAAGGTGCGGGCCAGGAAGAGGTAAGGGAGAACCGGGACGCTCGACATCTTCCCCTCCCAGTCTCTTGCCACGCACACACTCCCGGACCTCGACACCCCCACGCGTCACTTCAGATCCGTACATGTATCCGGAGACGAAATCACGCTTTTCCCTCTCCCCCTTCGCGAGTACCTTGTCCGACATCCACCAGCAATATAGAGAGACCCGCAGATACCATTGTTCCGGCCATACACCTCTGCCGAGCTGCTCTACAACATACTCCACTATTTTAAATGAGAAATCCCTGCTTGAAAATGGAAAAAGAATGAAGAGGACTGGCCACTCGGGGTCGTAATGGCCCGGCGCATGTCCCGAGGAAGGAAAACTCGGCAGTGTGTACAGGCAGATGACACTGCACGTTACCTATGACGTTGTTAGGTACGGCTCGTGTGGTTATATTAAACATGGGTGGGTTATTGCCAGCAGTATCCCGCGGGGTCTTGGCGGCAGGGCTGCAAATGACTATTCCCTTTTTTTTCTGGATGAGACATCAGTGCTATCAATGTAGTATTATGATCATCACGCTTGCAACATGAGCAGCGCCTTGTATTGATATCTACTAGTAGTATAGTCCATGGATTTATAGAAGAGTCTAGCCCTTCTCTCCTCGTTCCCTCATCCTCTCCTGCCATCATAGAAGACTTATGAAGAAGGGAATGGGATTTACGGAACCACCTAGGGTCTCTGTTCGCCACTGGGGACATTGCTTACAGTACGTAGATTGCTACATGGTGCATCTGCGAGTTGCCAATTTACGTTCTCGATATGATTATTCATACGAGTCACGTCGTGTCTGTGCCTGTTCAATGGACGTGACTGCAGGATGCACTTGCATGAGAAAATACTGCACGGTGGAGGGGAAAAAAGGTCCGTTGGAGCGAGAAGCATCGGCTATCTACTAGTAGTGATAATATGCACCGGGAGTCGAAAAGAAGGAGAGAAAAGACACGAGTTATTATTTTGTGAGAAGATAGTAAAGAGTTGCCAACAGGGAAGAAGGAAGGAAAGTATCACATTCCCAGAGAGATTCATGAGTCGTATTATATGCGTAAATATATATATATATATATATTGTGTGTGTGTGTGTATATGTGTGTGTGTGCGTATGTGTGCGTATGTGTGCATGTGTGTGTGCGTGCGTAGTAACGGGCAAGGTTGTGTAGTAGATCAGTATTTTGATCCGATCATCTTGTAGCAGCCACCAAGCATGACGCTGAGACACTTGAAGGCGATGGTGAGGAGCCATATGAAACACTTGAAGAGGCCCTTGACGATCTTGGCGGGGATCCTGAGTATGAAAGGGAGGCGGTCGATGCCCTCCTTCACCTTGACCCTCGGCTTCTTCGCGAAGCTGTCGTCTTGGCTCTCGACGTCGATCTCAAACGTCTCCATCCTCGACTTCTTGTTGTTACCGTTTCTGCTGCTGCTGCTGCCGTTCTTGGCGATGCCACCGGTGGCGGCACCCACTAGCCTGGACAGGGACGAGCTGCTGCGGTGGCCCGTGGCGCCGGCGCCTGCACCGGCCACGGGCGGGGGGACGGCCAGGGGCGGCGGTTCAAAGGTCTCAGCGCCGCCGACCGGGAGGTTCTTCTCGTCGTCCCGGGCGACGAGGGTCAGCGCCGTCACGGCCACGTCGACGATGAAGAAGGACTCAATCTTCGAGGCCAGCCCCGTGTCGATCTCCAGCCACCCGCCGCCGGTGAAGTCGCGCGTCAGCTTAGCCAGGTGTCGCGGCGACTCGTGGTGCTCGAGCGTGTACTCGACGCGGGACCAGGCGGGCGCCCGGTCCACCGTTATGCAGAACGGCGTGGCCAGGGCCGGGTGCACGAGGAAGTAGTTGTTGCTGTCGTCGTCCCACACTAGGCGGGCGCACTCGTTCTCGGCCATGGCCAGGGCGGCCGGGTCGTTGGCCCTCTCCACGGCCATGCGGGCCGCCGACGTGGGCATCAGAAGCGCCACCAGCCCATCCTGCGGCTGGTGCTTGCGGGATTCCTCCTCTGTCGTCGCGCACAGCGCCTCGATCCAGTTCTTGCCCTTGGTCGATATGCTGGGGCCACCACCGTTGCCGCCACCTGCCGAGCTGCTAGGCAGCGGCGAGGACGACGAGGACGCCGATGGTGACGATGGGCCCTCGCTGGTCGTCGTCGTCGCCTCCTTGTAAGGCTTGTTAGGGTCATGACGCATCACCGTGATGCGCGCCGACGCCGACGTCGGGTCCAGCCGGATGTTGTACATGGGCTGCCGGGAGGCTGAGAACATGGTGTACACGGGCGCGTCTCTGTCCTGAGCCATCTTCATGCAGTACACTCGACCCTCGGATGCCGACGCCTTCCACCCGTTGGCCACCTTCCAGAAACCTCTGAGCTGCTCCGTCGACGACACCTTGGGCTCCGCCGGGGGCTCCTGCGGCCGCGGCCGCGCCCACCGGTGCCCGCTGTCGTCCACCACCATCGGACTCCGCGTCGGGCTGTTGGCCTGCATCGCGTCCTGCTGCTGCTCACCGCTCTGGTGATACGACTGTCGGCTTATGATGGCTCGGGGGACCCGTGTAGGGCTCTTCTGTGTCGGAGCGTAGTCTTGCTGGTCCAGTGGGAGGCCGGGATTGTACGTCGGGAATATAGACCGGAGAGGTAGTTCCTGTGGGACTTGCTGCCGGCCCGGCTGCTGCAGAGGTAGAACTGGCCTGCCGTCGTCGTCGAGCGGCAGCTTAGCAATCGAGTCGCGGACCGACGGCTGCTGCGCCGCCAAGACTGGACTGGCAGCACGAGGGGGGTACGGCTGCTGTGGCTGTGGCTGGGGTTGCTCCTGTTCATTCTCGTGCTCGAGCTCGTGCTGATGTGGCCTCTGGACTCCGATGGGGATATCTGGCTGTATACTGTCACGATATTGAGTGGTCCGCGGCGGGGTCAGACGGGCCTGGCGAGGCGGGGCAGAAGAGTATGCGGCTTCGGGTGTCTGGGCACGCATGCCCTGTGGCGTGATTGTTCTGCGCTCGCGAGACTCGGAGCGACGCCCGAGGGCCATCTGGTTGCTCACAACCGGCGGAGGCTTAGAGGTGTTCGGGTTGGGGAACAGGGAGAAGGCCGCCGGGGCAGGCGACGTAGATGAGGGCGACATGTAGAGAGAGACACGAACCGGCGTGGGGTCACTTGGGTATAACGGATTGGAACTGTGAGAGCATGGAAAAGCATATGAGAAATAAAAAACAACAAAACAACAACAAAATAGAAAGAGGCGAAATGATGCGTTTAAGAGTGTGTAGCAGAAACAATGATGAAAAATGACACACAATCAAATGACTACCGCTTCATTATGGATACACACAGAAGAAAAGGAAGACAGAGGATCAACAGGCGGCGCACAGAGGAGAAAGCGGGACATATACGTCTTGAGAGAAGATCCATAACTCGGGTGACTGATCAGTGAAGACAGTGAAGCGCCCAGAGATGAAGAAATGCTGGCCCATGGAGAGGAGAGGGAGAGGTGATGGGGATGCGTGTGAGTGGTGAGATGGAGACGGTCCAACAGGACAGCGCGTGGGAGGGTGGTCCCAAAGACCAAAAATAGCTGAGCAAGGGTCCGGCGATCCAATGAGCGACCCCATCACCCTGCAGGCGACGGTCTCCAAGCGCCTATTCCCTTGTCTCCCAGCCGCCGTTTCCTCGAATCCGATCGCGCGAGGATTACGCTTGCCGTTCATACCAAATCGGAGCTCTCGTCGAGTCTCGCAGAGCGCTTACCGAGTACTGAGAGTGGCTGGGCTGATCCCGTTTACCCGTTGTGGCCACGACGGTGATGGATGGATGGTGTTTGAGCTAATCAACGAGGACTATCCATCTTGTCACTTGCTTGATGAAAGGTGACCGGTTCTCGAGACCGGATGCCTCGAAGCGCTTGATTTTGCGTCATTCGGTAATCCTTTTAGAGGGAGGCCGGGATGGCATCTGTCGGTGTGCCATGCTCACATTGTCTTGGGTCGTATAGATGGAGTATTGCTCGGACGAAGATCGACCGACAGCCTAGATGTGAGATTCGAATGCAGAGAGCAATGTTTATTTCTTCTTTTCTTATATATCCACATGTCTTTTCTCGTTCTTCTCTTGTTCCTTCTCAAATCGCGGGCCGACAATAATCGTACAAGACAAGCCCCCCCTGCCCGCTCGGCCTCCAGAAAAAAAAAAAACACTTTCGTACGAATACACAGCAATACTACAGGCGTATGTTGCAGGACAGGAGGGTAGGGGGGGCAGAGGGGGGGGGGGACTCCCGCTGCAGAAATCACGAAATTAAAACGCCGGCCCAGAATGCATCCATCATGCCCTCCTCTGTCTGCTCCCCCCCCTCCCCCCTCCCCCCTCCCCCTCTCCGACGATGGATCAGATCAGCTCTCGCCGTGACGTCGATCCTTGGATGGCATGCCGCCCACGCGCTCCACCCTGGCCTCCATCTCCTTCTGTCTCGACAGTCTCACGTCCTCGGGCAGACCCCACCACTCCCTCATGAATTCCTCCTGGGCAGCCGCCATCTTGGCCTTGCGTTCGCGCTGTCGCTGCCTCTCGATGCGTAGCGCGAACCACTCCTCGCGGGCAATGTCGTATTCCTCCTGCGTCGCGTGTTTCGTCATGCAGTTGTTCATCACCCGGTGCTCGGCACGGCAGGCGAACGACACTGTAAATGTCCTTCCGAGGGCGCAGGCGGCGAATTCTGCATCCGTCGTCCACGCAATCGTCAGCATATTTTCTGCCATCTTCTACCGCCTCTTCCGCGGGTAGGAGAGGGAAGCATGTGAAGACAAGAGGGAGAAGGCACTCACGTTTGATCTCCTCCACGCACTGCTTGCGTACCCGGCCGTAGTAGATATCTCGCACCTGGCCCTCCTGCGACGCCGACAGAGGAAGCGGGTTTCGAGATGGCACACCCGGGCGCTGCTCCTGCGGAGCGTCAGGTTTCTGATCGGCCATTGCGGCCCATCGACTGGCTTGGCGGGAAGTCTTCGATTGGCAGGGACGAGTACTGGATGGCTTGCCGTCAATCGTTCGAAGAATGTACCCGGTGGAGGAAGCGAGAGTCGTCGCGTGGCAGAGTAGTGATGTGATGCGCAATGGCCGTCGTCGTCGTCGTCGTCGTCGTAGGCTGACGAAGAGCTAGGAGACGAGCTTTAGATTCATGAGAAGACGGGAGGTAAAAAGACATCACCGCCTTCTGGATCGAGACGCTGACGGCAGAATCTCCACATACTCAGCTCAGGTACCCTCACACCACTGGAAATGCTTACCCTGCATGGTCATAAAATTCTCCTAGATCGATCTTGTGTCCTGGCGAGCAGGGTTCATATCATTCTGATGCCTGAGTGTGGTAGAGTTCATCTATCCATCGTAAATTTCACCATCTCTAGGAACTTGCTGGTACGAAACATGCCGTGGCTGTTTCTCTGAACGCGTAGTCGTTGTAAAATTCTGCTGACACATCGCCAATGGCCTAATAGTAACGCTCTCGATGAAGTCCCTCTCCCACACCTGATTTCCAACTGTAGCATCGCCCGGAGGAGCAATCTCGAGGCCGCTCGTGGTAACAATGGGGGGTATGCTTCCAAGTGCAAATCGAAAGAAATTCTCAAGGTTGAGTGACATGACAGAAATGAACAAGAAAATTTATCTGCATCTTTAGTCTGCTAGGCTCATCAGTCCACCGTGAGGTTGCCAAGGACGCAATGCGGTCACCAAAGGATTCGACTGAGAATATTTCGCAAAAAAAAATACCGACAGAACCGGATGAGGGAAAGAGAAGGATCGAGGAGCCGGACACAGTGCCATCACATAATCTCGGGCTCTGAGGAGGTCAACTGAGGATATTCCACCCAGATTTATCGAGCGGGCGTTGTTGAGAGCCTCGAACAACGGCCATGCCTGACAGGAGCACGCAGGAAGGGCATCTCACGGGTGTTAAAAGTAGAAGACAGAGATAGGGCGGTCGATCTGGATGGGGGTCGAGCTGTTCATGCACGGCATCTATATTGAAATGGATAGATGCAGAGGGCAACACTGTATAATTCCTATCTCGCGCTTGCTTATATGCCATATCGATATCCCAGAAATCCATTACACTTGGCACATACAGCTGAACACCTGTTCGCTCCGGGGTATTACGCGCCATGCATCCAACCAACCAGTCTTGTCTGTATCACCCTCCTACTGGTTCTGCGTGGTCGGCTGCTGCTGCTGAGGGTACTGAGGGTAATACGGCTGAGGCTGGGCCTGGTAGTTTCCCGCACCACCCTGCAGCTCCTGAGGCGAGTGGTAGACGGCCTGCTGAGGCTGGTGCTGCTGCTGGTGCTGCTGCTGCTGGTAAGGGTCCGGGCTGACGGCCTGCGAGGTGACGGTAGGCTGGTAGGGCGAGGGCGAGGGCGAGGGCGAGGGCTGCTGGTACGGGCCCTGGTATCCCTGCTGCGGGTCGTAGGCAGTCTGCAGCTGCTGGGGCTCGATGGGCTTCTCGGCCTGGGGCTGCTGCCGCGCCTGCTGCTGGACCTGGGGCTGCTGGGCGTTGAAGGGCTGGCTCTCCATCTGGTGGTTCTCGTTGGCGAAGCGGACGACCAGGGGGAACATGTTGTTCTTGCGGCCGCGGATAAACATGGTCAGCGTCCAGCTGAAGGTGACGATGAATAGGACCCTGGGCGGTATCGACGTGTCAGATCCCGTCTCTCTTGCTGTTCTCCTCCACAGGAGAAGGGGTTGGGGGGGATGGCGACGGCCTTAGTGATGGAGGGAGAGTGAAGTGACATACCATGTCCAAGCGCCAATGCCGGCGGTGGCTGACATGACAGCGGCACCGGTCTCGTAGAGGATGATGGCGCGAGGCTCGAGATCTCTCCTTGCCTTGTAAAAGGTCCAGTAGTCGTAGGTGTCGAAGCTGTACTTGGAGCGCTCGGCGGCGGTGGCGGCGAAGGCGGCCAGCCACAGGGCCAGGAAGAAGGCTTCGAGGGATAGGACGGCGACGATGTGGTAGCCAGAGCGGAAGGAGGAGACCTTCTCAGCCAGGATGATGTAGAGCACGGATATCAATGTGAGGATGGACTATTCCGAGGAGAAAGGTGTGAGTGTCAGCCGTGTGAGGGAGGGCTGGTAGAGAGAGAGAGAGAGGATAAGACGTTGAGAACGTACAGCCGCAATATTGAGCCCCATGACATCCAGGTATGCACCCGAGATGAACCACGCGGAGAGACCGAGGATGACGACGGCCAGGACAATGGTGAGGATGCGGATGATGAATATCCACAGGGGAGTCTTGAGGACATGGTCCACACCCCCTACGGTGCGGACGCTCAGTAAGGTGCCAGCCATGATATGGGAGTATACTCGACACTACCCGTGTTCTCTTTGTATCGTAAAAATTATAGAAAGACTCGACTTGTTCTCTCCTTTAGCACAGCCAAGAAGAGAGAGGACAGGAACAGGCAGCACGATGGGCGCCCGGAAGTCAGGGCAAGCTCTACCTTATGAACACAGACCACAGCATCCCTTTCTCTTCTCTCCTCTTCTCTCCCATACAACAGATTCCTGTTTATCTGGCAATATTTCGTATTATTTCACAACCCTTGAGCCTTGAGAGAAGCCCCACAAGCCTAAGGCAGACTTGCCGTCTCGTGGTCATTGGCGGTCCAACCCCGTCCAACCAGATGACATTCCGTTCTCCGGTTCCTGTCCAAGGGTTGGACGGGTTAAGCAAGCCACACGGATGATAGTCCCTACCCCCTGCCCCTCGGGGTAAGAAACAGGGCGCTGATACTCCCTCCATACATATTGCAGGGTTTGCAGCCGCATTTTCCCAGTCTCGTAAGCCGTCTTGAACGTGGACGGGGCTTGTGCCAGCTCAACAAGTTTGGTATGCGAAGCAAGATTCGGAGGGGGATCCCTGCTTCGGCTTCAGATGGTGGGGGGGGGGGGGCATTTGGACTGTAATTTCACTTTCTGTCCCCCTTCCAGATATACTGTGTAGATAGTTGGTGAGTTCTGGCTCTTCTTCTTCTTCTTCTCCTTGGCGGCAACCCTCCCTCCCCTCTCTCTACGAGTACCGTACACACGGATGAAGAATAAATTGAAGCGGAAGCTGGAACTGCGGATGGGAGCTTTGACATTGGAGCCCATCATGACATTGATCCAGTCAAGACTTACACGTATCACAAGCGCGTGCTGAGCATTCGACCCGCCGTAAGGCTGAGAACCAAGGCTGAGTACGAGAATAAGCCTGATGATGTGGGTTCTGCTTCAAGTTGATATGCATACTACGGTATCGTCTTAGCCTCTAGACAGATATAACCGTCCAATCTTCATGCACCTTACCATCTCCCGGTCTATCAGAGACGCTCTGCGACTCCGTAGAGGTCCAACCACGTTTGATGAATTAGCGAGTGCGGAATACACCGCTACTTCTGCGCGGAAAGGTCGCTTCAATCGTATCGCCAAGCCGCTTGGCAACTGCCAACCTCTGGGAGGCCTTCCAATGAGCGTAGACTGGCGCATGTCAGACGGTGATAATATCAGGCCGTATTATTCGAGTTGATCGACGTATATATGTAGTATCTGTATCAGTGCGTTCCATGCAGATGGAATATGTGATGACTGCGCACATCTCATTGTCGCTCATTTTGGTAGTGCTTGCATGCAGGGGTATTGATTCGTGTGAGAGGGAGGAGGTTGCTCGTTGTGTAGGAGAGAGGACCATTACTGCAAGACTGCCCATACATACGAGTGCATTATTATTATGTATTAGCATTCAACAACAGTCGGTCGACTAGTGATGGTAATGACATCATCATTTTCTTTTTTCTCTTTTTCTCTGTTCTTTGCATCTTTCATTACTATCTTTAACAAGCTTCATTACCCAGAACCCATGACGAGCTACCATCGACTACCGAGTACATATTTTGTGTTCCTTTCCTCTGCCCTTACCCGCTCCGGTATTATGTGACTTAGATCTTCTCATTGGGTCCGGCGATGAGCACCTTGATGGCCTCGCCACCCTTGACCTTCTTAAAAGCCTCCTCGGCCTGCGTGAAGGGGACGACTTCGGTGATGAGCTTCTTGACGTCGACCTTGCCGGTAGCGACGAGCTCGACAGCCAGCGAGTAGTCGCCGGAGCCGTAGCGGAAGGAGCCCTTGGCCGTGACCTCCTTCTGGCACATGGCCATGATGGGGAAGTTGATGTCTGACTTGCCCATGCCGCCCTGGACGTAGGTTCCGCCCATGCGGACGGTGTGCAGGCTGGTCTGGATCGAGGGCTCTGCGCCGCTGGCGTCGATGACGGCGTCGGCGCCGGCGGGGAGGTCGGCGACGTCGCAGATGGCTCTGGCGTTGTCCTGAGCCGAGATGCGCTGCGACGAGTAGGTATGGGTAGCGGCGAAGCTGCGGGCGAGGTCGAGCTTGGACTGGACGATGTCGACGCTGACGACCTTTGTGGCGCCGAAGGCGCGCGCGACGGCGGCGCACAGGAGCCCGACCGGGCCGGCGCCCATGACGACGACCGACTGGCCCGGGCTGACGGACGCCTGCCTGACGATGTGCACCGCCACGGCGAGCGGCTCGATCATGGCGCCCTCCTGCAGCGTCACCGGCTCGGGGAGCTTGTAGCAGAAGTCGGCCGGCGCCACCCACAGCCCCGTCAGCGTGCCGTGGTACGGCGGCGTGGCGGCGAACTTCATGTCCGGGCACAGGTTGTAACGGCCCCCGAGGCATTCGCTGCACCGCCGGCACGGGTACCCCGGCTCGATGGCCACGGAGTCGCCCATGGCCAGAGACTTGACCTCGTCGCCGACCTCGACCACGGTCCCCGCCGACTCGTGGCCCAGGACCATCGGCCCCTTCAGCGCGAATGAGCCGATGGCTCCGTGCTGCCAGTAGTGCACGTCGGACCCGCAGATGCCCGTGTACCGCACGGCCACGAGCACGTCGAACGGAGACGACAGGCTGGGTTTGGGCCGTTCGCCAAACGTCACATCGTTGGGCTTGTTGAGGATGAACGAGAGGTTCTATGCCTCGGGGCGTTACCGCGTCAATCTCTACACTCCTCACATCGGCCGTCTCTCACATCTTCTCATCCTCGTCGTCTTCCGTCTTTCTTTCCTTCCAGAGAGGACAGAACTCACACTCATGTCATTTTTGTTAAGAGGCGCCATTGTAGACCGATCCAGAGATCTGTTTTATGTATTCGGTGACGAAAGTACCGGCGACGGTGACGGGCGACGGTGACGAGGACGATCTTGATGAAGAACGGTGGTGATGATGATGGTGGCGGTGGCGGGGGCGGGGTTGGTATTACGGTCGGTCACTTGACACGAGTTCAATGGCAGAGTTGAAAGGTGTCAAGCAGGATGCTAGATGGAAGGAAGAAGAAGAAGACTGGTATTAATGAAGGGCAACCAGAGTCGAGACCAGCTTCGAACCCAGGGATAAAAAAAGTCTTCTTGCTCCAACTCTCAGGCAAAATGCGGTCACACGCACACGCCCCAAACCCCATTCAACGATGCCGTTGCCTAGATTCCAGTCTCCCCTCCTTCGTGACCCCACGACGGCTTTCGACGGAGGAGCTACATCAGGCACCGCCGCCTCCGCCGTGTCCACTTTTGCGACATTTACCCAACGTCATTAGCCGGTCCAATCAATGACGTCTTCAATCTCCATCATCTAGGGAGGAGCTCAATCTAGGGTCGGTGTTGATCTGATCGAGGGCATCGATTTAATCGTTATCTATCGTCATGGACCGACAATCGGGACAATATTGTCGCGATGGGTCGAAGCAGACTGGTCATATGTACAGTCACGAAAAGTATCCGTGTGAGAGGCTCTTGTATAACAAAACGTTGATCTCCAATGATTGCATTCATCGTCACTTTTAACGTGCCTTCACATCGTGCAGAAAACACAACCCCCCTGATAGTCAACCTGTTTATCGCAGAAATTCCTGCTCCTGGTGACTGATCGAGTGCCTCTTGTGCTTGCTGTCCTGAGGGTAAGGGTGCTCTATGGCCGGCTCGCCGTGATTCTCGTGCACGAACGAGGGCGGCATGCTTCTAGCATCGATAGAGTGGCTAGTAGTTTCGTTAATTCGTGGTCACGGGCCTTTGTAGACAGACTTATCAGGATGAGCAAAGAAGCATACCTGTGGGCATCATTCTTGTGCACGCGGGGATCGGCCTTGTTCAAGGTCTCGTTGCGATGGACGGGTCCGGTGTGCTCGGTGTGGGTGCGTCCATGCTGAGAGTACCCGTCCTGGGAGTGACCGTCCTGGGAGTGACCGTCCTGGGAGTGACCGTCCTGGGAGTGACCGTCCTGGGAGTGACCGTCCTGGGAGTGACCATCCTGAGAGTAGTCCTCGCGGCGGTGATCATCCCGAGTAGTGGTGTCATCGTGGGAGTGTCCGTCCCGGGTGTAGCCGTCATGGAGGTTGTCGTCCCGGCGGTGCTCGTCAGTTCTGTTCTTTCCGAACAAGTCCTTGGCCTTGTTGATGAAGGGAGCCATTGTGTATTGTTTGTGTTGATCAATTGGAAATGGTAAAGAAGAGAGTAATATTCTCAGTGCTGCATGCTCGAGAGAAGAGTGGAAGCTGTCTATACTCTCAGTGTCTAAAAAATATCTTACAATGGACAAAGCAGCGGGCCTTTAAATACGCACGTTCCCGCAGGTGGCATCTATCCCACAGCAAGTCGAGCATTGTGCGATCCCGTCTTGGCTTGTCTGGAGGCAACTTGATCTTTCGTCATAGCCGAGCATCAAGAAAGGTCCGACGGGCTCCCTGACTGGTGTGATCGGACGAGACTCTCCGGGCATCGTACAGCGTTGATGGTGGTGGCATCCTCAGAGTTCGCGGCAGCCTGTTTTCCTTTGCCAAGTTGCAATGCTTCACTGTGGCTGGATGATGATTACGATGATGATGATCGGCGTTACTCGGTGAGCTTTCAAGTTTCTTGGGAGGACCCCGATGTTGTCCGCTCCTGATCAGACGTAGATGACGTTGAGCATCATCATGTAGAGGAATCTGCCATCTTGGCCACTTGGCAGCTTGCCTCCCAATGAGGGGAGTGGCAATATTCCATGCCAATGAAACAGTCAATTATAGAGCGGCTTGGCGGTACAGTACTGCACCTTTGCGGAAAGCCCCTCCTAGCGATACGGAGTGCACCGTATCCGCAATTCTTGTCCCATTTCGATTGACGAGGCTCCTTGTGGTAGAGTGCAGCTATTGTGCGGAATGACGCTTTCCTGGCGCGTCATCACATGGAGTCTTGGTTACTGGGTCCTGGTTGTGTTGCAACCTTGGGTAGTCGATAACGGTGCTAGAGAAGAGGTTGCGCCGTATGGTGAGGGTTCGATGCGGTGGAGCATAGCAAGCTTGACCAGGTGCATTGGGAACGGAAAGTTGTCATTCGTTATTCGCGGGTATGTAGATGTCAGGACTGTCTGTTCTATCGGCCAAGTGTGCGCGGGCTATCGTGATTCTATGGAAACGTTAGAGATAGTCCCTCTCGAAACAAACTGACCAATGCAAAAAAGACAGGTCAGCAGGATTCCTGGTGGATATATGGCCAGCCACCAGCAAGAGCATATACACACCATGAAGATGCGATGAGATTTGGCCGGCCGGGGTGGCCGAATCACCTCCTGGCCACGATCCAGGCGGCACCGGCGAGGGTGCTGAGCCCGGCAACCCAGGGGAGAAGAGAGCGAAGGCAGCTCGGACGGTGCTGTGGACCATGATGCTTGCGGTGATGCGACGCAGCATGGCTGCCTCGTTAAGCCATAGAAATTCCTCGTCGGGGACGTCTCTCCCCAGGAACTCGCCGAGGGGGGGGAGCTCGGCCGTCGCCCATGCGGTAGACGAGCAGCTTCCCGGGGGTCACGAACTCCCTTATGCGTGGGCGTGGCCCTCGTTGGACATGGCGTGAGTGGCGGTGGGCCTCGTCGGGTTTCCTGGCGTCGAAGAGTCCGGGTAGCATCTTGCGCGTAGGCCGCGCCGCCTCGGAACCTGACCAGCGGCTCGACCTAGCGGGCCGAAAGGGTGGACATGGTGCCCCACACGACGGGGAAGAGGATGCCGAAGATGCTGGCGTGCCACCGGTCGAACTAGCGCTCTACCGGCACGACGCGCGCGTCCGGGTACGCGGCTATCAGCTCGGGGTCGAAGACGCTGGCCGCGTCCGTAGAGGCCTCGTATCTACCCCACAGCTCGTCCCAGTCGGCGTGCGTAATCGGCCGGTCGGGCGCGTGCGTCTCCAGGCACGGGAAGGTGGCGTCGGCCGTGCACTTCAGGAGGAGCCAGTCCTGCGGCCGGTCGACCATCTGGCTCGTGTGGTAGACGTTCTGGTAGCCCCGGCATGGTCAGTGCCTCGGCCATCGACGTAGACCCTGTGCGTGGCAGTCCCAGAGCCGACAATCTTCATCTCGCGATGGGGCGGCGTCGTGCTCGTATCGGTTGACATGGTCTGACGGTGAAAGTCCCGTCGACGAGCTCGGTAAAATCTCTCTTCTTCTCCTGTTCTTTTTCTTTTTCTTTTTCTTTTTATACATGTAGGCATGTGTTGTAATATTGATATGTATGCAAGTACTTCCAAGTATGCACATATATCGCGGGCCGCGGGATTATGAAGTGAGGATGGAAAGAGAACCCTCAGCACACAAGAGAAGAGAACGAGTGCGTTACTCGTCTAGTAATAAGATAACATATTATACACCATGTTTCTGAAGGGATCGTTGTCCCATCTTTCTTTTCTTTTCCGTCTCTGTCCTTGTTTCTCGTTCCCTTCTTCTGTTTCTGATTGTCAACGTTATGACTGCGTGATAACGGTGGAAAGTTTCGATTCACGACATGAGTGGCCTTGGATATGCTTGGGTGTATCAGATAGTTTTGCAACGTGCAGATCCGACGATCGACCCCCGATATTTCCTCTCCTCTCTATAGTTCATCATCAGCCCCAGGCATGATGATGACGGCAGCCACCCTGCAAATGTGCTTAGATCACACCAAGTTACGAGCGGACTGATACTCAGTAACCTGTTACGTATAAAGGAATCACGGTGCATCCAAGTTCAAATATATATAGGACTATTTCTGGTTCACGTCAGGCCATTCCTCGTCCTTTCCGGGTTGCAGCGTCATGCTTGCTACCTGGTATTATATCGCTGTCAAGTCATCAGTGAGCCTCAACGTTCCTGCAGAATATTGGCGTTGACCGGACGTCAAGCCGAGGAGTTTGAAGGCAGGGAGTCGAATGCTCCGAGATAACCCGTGCTTTGTATCGAGCACGCATAGATTCTTCTTTTTCCTTCTTTTTCTTCCCGCTGTGTATGGAATGATTAGTTGCGCGGAACGTGCCACGATCCATGGCAGATATAAGATATCGTGCAGCAGCATGTAATATATGCAGAACGGGACAAGGACTTGGGTCCTTGGCGGGCGCAATGGAAAGGGCCGAAGGTGCTATTAGATCATGCTGCCATTGGTCGACCGAGAAAGGGTATCATCGAATGTCTCTGCATGGTGAAAAGTGACGTTGGAGGCTTCGTAATCCGACCAGACCCTTCCCATCCCGGCAGAGCCTCGAGGCCAGGGTGGAAAGCTGTAGGTTTCATCGCCTACATACAACGTGATCCGTCATGTAATGTGCGCGAGTATAGAACGGTCGATTGCCGTTACAGGTGACTCCACAACTGCCCAGGATTCTATTCCCGCAGCCGACCAACGAGTTCCTCAACTTGGCAACTAATACCAATAATTGAGTGGCATGAATGCTGGTGTCAACGTCCCGGGGAATCAAGGGTCCAAGTCCCCGTAGAGTGTCGTTCCTCGATGCATCCCACCGGCACATGGTGATGAATGTGGAGAGACCTCCATCTACGAATGCCAATAACCAGCCTGGATCCCAATCATAATATATCGCGGAAGTTCACCCGTCGGATCTTGTCGCGATTGCACGGCTACTGATATTGACTCGTCATCAACCTGCAGCCGCGTCACGCGGCTTCGGCTTTGCGAGACCCGCACTTCGCGGACGGGAACCAAGTGCCGTACCGAGTTGGTCCGTTGTTCAGTGTGGGTGCTAGTAATTCAATGAAGGTACGGACCTGGAAGCTGGACGCTTACTATTATTACCTTACCTTACGATGAGGGTGCGCGATTCGTGCCGGGCAAGCCATGGCGTTCGAGACTGACAGCATGTGCAGCCAATACTAATATCATTGCTATGATTTTGGGTTTTCATCTTCTTTTTCTCTCTCTCTCTCTCCATCTGCATTCAACCAACCCTCGTGTTGCAAGATTTACCCTGTCTTGACCGTTTGACCCTTCGTAAAGTTGAGGGTTGCATCATCGGCCCCTCCGATGTTGACATATAGCGAAACGATGCCGTGATATCTACATACATGAATATGGCCAGTGCAGAATATTTTCAATTGTCCCCCTCTAATTCGTCATCGGGCTGTATATCAAATATGAGCTGTGTTCCTGCCTGTGAATATCCCCCTTTTCCCGTTACCGTTCCAATTTCTCCATCAGCCTTGATCCTCGCGAAGCTACCCTTGGGACACGCTCACGATGTCTTTTCGGCGACCGTTTGGTGATCGCAATGGCGACTCCGGCAACGTTATCAACAAAGGCCAACATGGCAGCGTCTCTGATGGCCATGAGCTGTATGTGGGCACCAAGGGTGGTAACGATGCGCCACCTACGTACCAGGATATATCCGGCGCGCCAATCGAGAGAGAGTCCCCGTTAGGATACTCTGTCGGCCCAGCTACCATCACACTACTGAATGTAACCATGATGATTGGTGCTGGCATCTACTCTACACGTACGTCCGATCAACGCAGTCATGTCCCAGAAGGGGGAGGGGGGGGAGGAATCGCTGACTTGATGAGGCAGCCTCGTCTATCTTGTCCGGCACCGGTTCTGTCGGTGTCAGCCTCATCTACTGGACCCTCGGTTACTTTGTATGTCACGCATGATGAAGCCTGCAAGGGCGAAAGGTGCGCTTTGGCTGACGGTTCTTGACGCCGCTTAGATCTGTCTCACATCCGGCTCCGTCTTTCTCGAGTTCACCGCGTACTTCCCCAGTCGTTCGGGCGGAGAAGTCGTCTTCCTCGAACAGGCCTACCCCCGGCCCAGGTGGCTGTTCCCAACCACGTTTGCTGTCCAGAACGTGATTCTTTCTTTTGGGAGTGCAAATGCTACGGGTGGGCGACCGCAACATCTCAGTCTCGCAGTCTAGGGATCTGATACTGACACTCTGCAAAAAAAAAAAAAAAAAAAAAAAAAAGTCATGGCCAACTACTTGATCGCCATCTCCGGGCATGAAGGCACCAACTGGCAAGTCAAAGGCACAGCTCTCGCCTGCTATACTCTCGCTACGCTGAGTAAGGGCTCCTGCAGCACAGGTTCACACCCCCGATATGATGCGTGTCTCTGACGACGTTTTAGGCCTCGTGTTCAATACCAAGTATGCGTACTGGTTCTCCAACGCTGTCGGGATCGTCAAGATCTGCACCATCATCTTCATCATCCTCACCGGCTTCGTCGTTCTGGGCGGCAACACCAGGGTCAAGAGCCCTACAGCCAACTTCCACGATGCGTGGTCCGGAAGCTCCAACGCTTCGGCCTACGGCATGACCACCGCTCTGTACCGGATCATCTTCTCGTACGGAGGATACAACAATGCCTTCAACGTTGTCAACGAGGTCAAGGTATGGCGACCAGACGCACCCGATCTGTTGAGTGAACTGCTCTCACATGTGCCTCTCGACAGAACCCCGTGAAATCGCTCAAGATCTACGCCACGGCTGCCCTGACCATTGTCTACGTGCTGTACATGTTTGCCAATGTTGCCTTCTTTGCAGCCGGCAAGTTGTCCTCAACCGTCTTCATCTTCCAAGAAAACTTGACGCTAATGGCCCTTGTCTTACGATAACAGTCCCTAAAGATGAACTCCAAAACTCGAGCCTCACGACCGCCAGTCTGTTCTTCTCAAAGGTTTTCGGAGAGAGCGGGGCGGTCCGCGGTCTCAACTTTCTCATCGCACTGTCGTCCTTTGGTAACATGATCGCCGTCATCGTCGGTATATCTAGACGAATCAGAGAGACCGGGAGGCAGGGTGTGCTTCCCTTCAGCACCTTCTGGGTTTCTACAAAGCCCTTTGGAACTCCGATCGGTCCATACTTTGTCATCTGGTTCTTGACCTGTCTTATGATTGTTGCCATACCTGCCGGCGATGCTTTCACTTTCGGTAAGCTGTTCGATTGCCTAGCGTCATCTTAGATGGTGACGGCTTCAAGCTGACAGCGTACACCCACCCAGTCAACGACCTTTCCGTCTTCCCGACCGCCGTATTCAACCTAGCAATGGCGCTCGGCATTTACATCGTCCGCTGGCGACGTAGAAAGGCGAACCTCCCCGAGCCGGACTTCAAAGCGTGGAACGTTGCCATCATCTTCAACATCTGCATTCAGCTCTACCTTGTCATCATGCCTTGGTATCCGCCGGCTGGTGGCCAGTACGCAGGCGACGTCAGCTTCTGGTACGCCACGTATGTCGTGACGGGTATCGGAATGTAAGTCCCCTTCCCTCCTAGGTATCTCTCTTGGATATCTCAATGTGCTGATACGCTTCTATACAGCCTGGCAGCCTGTGGCATCTACTACTGGGTATGGGCTTTCGTCCTTCCGAAGTGGAAGGGCTACAAGCTACGGCAAGAGGTCGTCTACTTGGACGACGGAGCTCAGGCCAATGTGCTCAGAAAGATTCCCAAGGACGAGGTAGACGAGTGGGACTCTACACACGATGCTACGGGGCGTCCCATTCAGACAGCCGGCGAGGAGGTTCAGGTATATGAAAAGGGCGTCAGGATCTCTTCCGAGGGCAATACCTCTGATGGAAAAGGTCATGAACTCAGCGGTGACCGCGAGACCACCGATGTCCGGTCCGTTTAGCCGAGCGGCTGCGATAATAATCATAATACGACCCGAGGCAAATCCACCACTCATTTTTTCAGGTACTGGTACAATCCGTATTTGAAAAAGGGATATCATATATATATATATATATATATATATATATAAGCGCTGTGCCGCTTTTGGCCCACTGGTGCTCTCGTCGTTGGTCCTTGGTCCTTAGAATAGTGTTCAGCTGTAATAGAGTACAGATCAGTCTTATACTTGCGTGCATCTATCTTCTGGTATTATTTGTAAGATGAAAAGTAAACGGGTCAGTTGAAACGTGGAACGAAGAACTCCACAACTGATACGCAGAAGACCTCCTTGTCGGACTCATAATCCCCCAGTGTTCAAGCATACTCTCTAGAGAATTGATCTCCAAGCCGGATGCCTGCTCCCACAAGCATCGCAGCTAAGCGGCCATTGGATTGACCACGCCAATGTGAATGGATAGATGATAACAAACCAAAGTCTAGATGTTACTTGTTTACCTCGTGAGCATCTTGTATTCTCAGCAACAAAGCGAATCGCAGCAATTGGACAGCCCGAAACCGCATATGCAAGGGAGCCCGTTGCGGGACGGATTGGCTATCTCGATCAAGCAAGCTGAGGGGCCATTGCTCTGCGACTGAAGATGGTCCATGGATGTGAGGCCATGCGCGGCGAGCGCATGAGCCTCTCAATGAGAACTGTACGCATCAGGCATCGTAGACGAGCAGTGGGAAGGGGATAAAAGAGGGAGGGTAAGATACAAAAAGATACAAAAAGAGGGAAAAAAGGATGGTGCAACTGGGAGTCGAACCCAGGCCTCTTTCGAGACTGCGAAAATACAGGATTCCAGAAGAGGAACTAATGAATGAACCTGAACACAGCGCCTTAGACCACTCGGCCATCGCACCTTGAGTTTTTCCGAGAGCACAATCGCTCTATCTAGGTGAGACTACCATCACCGATGAGATCAGCCTCAGGCCCTCAACGGCTACTACACCTTGTCATTACGCGGAGGCAAGACATTTGAACGGCGTCAGAGCTCCCCTCCGCACGCATGGGTAAATGAATAATTCCTCCACGCTCGACGTAATCTCAGCACAGATCTCTCTAGGACGTCAGATGCCTTGACGGAGAAATCATCGGCGCAGCAGCAGCCCCGCCCCCCCTGCTGGCTGCCACACCATGTATAGCCGAGACTCCAACATCATGCGCAAGCTGCTGGGTAGGACAGCGCCCGACACATCTGCCGTCGACGCCTCCCACTCCGCCGCCTCGATCCCGCCCCCCGTTGCATACCGACCGCAGAGGGCTCAGGATGCCGTGTATGCCGCCGGGGTGCCCATCTCACAGCTTGATGTATCGCCGGACCGGAGGAGCGTGGCCCTGGGTGGCCCGCATGTGCTCAAGACGATCGTCATGGATCACCACGACGATCCTGAGGGTGACGGGCCAGGCGGAGGCGGCGGCTCCCGGACCTTCGCACCCATCGAAGGTGTCGACATCCGCGCCTCCATCATGATGCAGCCGTCCGTTGGGCCCAAGGCGAACTCGGTGGCCGACCAGCTCAACATCCGCGACGTGAAATGGCACGGGAACAGCACGGTCTTCACGGCCTGTGCCAGCGGTCGCATATTTGCCTACGACATCGCCCGTCTGGGGACCGGCAGCACCGACGGCGGCTACGAGAATGTACACATACAGGAGGATTCCAGGCAGGTCAACACGCTCGACGTGAACCCCCATCTGCAGAGCTGGCTGCTGTCGGGCGGCCAGGACGGCTTCGCGCGCATCTTCGACACGGCCAACCCGGTCCACACACGCCAGGGCTTCGTCACGTTCCGTCAGCGCTTCGCAGGCCTGCGATGCATCGACCCCATACGCCACGTCAAGTGGTCTCCGCGCGTCGGCCACGAGATGGCAGCCTGCACGGATGGCGGCGTCGTGCTCAAGTGGGATGTCCGGCAACCCTCCAAGCCGCTTCTCCGCATCAACGCCCACGAGAAGGCGTGCACCGGTATTGCCTGGCACCCGGATGGCGTACATCTGGTCAGTGCCGGCTTCGACTCCAGGCTGCACGTCTGGGACATGGGCAGCTCGGCCGACCGCCGCCAGAAACCAAAGTGGACCGTCAACACGCCCGCGCCCGTCGCCGCCGTCTCCTGGAGACCCAGCATGTGGTCGGCCACGGCCCAGGCTAGGCGTGTCGCACAGGTGGCTGCCAGCTACGACGATAGCAGTACCCGACGCTATGGGACGTCGGCCGTGCACATCTGGGATCTGGCCCGCCCGACTATGCCCTACAAGGAGATCGAGCGCTTCGACAGCTCGCCCAGCGCCCTCTCGTGGCAGGATCAAGATATCCTCTGGACCGTCGGTCAGGATGGCATGTTCAACCAGTGTGATGTGGCGTATGCACCACGTGCGGTCGACCGCCAACCCACCTCTGCTCTCGACTTCTCCTCTCGCGGCGACGTTGTCATGTTCCTCGACGAGAGACCGCAGCAGCCGAGGCTTCAGCCGTCCTCGACGGCCGCCATGACAAAGGCATCATCATTCGCCTCCGATTCCCACACTCCCATGCTCAGTCTCAGCCGGAGCGACTCGGAGGAAGATGTCGTCGGCAGCTTCCTCGCACCACGCAGGAGGATGCACCGCAAGAGCCGGCCTAGCGGCAGGGCGTCTGCAACGCCGCCGTCCTCTTCTAGCGTCGCCAGAGGCAAGAACACGCTAAACCTAGAGCAGTCCATAAAGGCAACGGGCACCTTCAAACCCCAGCAGGCCATGGCGTCTGGCCACATTCCAGCTGCCAGTTCGGTTGCCGTCTACCAGTACCTATCGAGTGTCTACCTCGAGACTCTACAGCGGGAGCTTCCCAGGGATCCATCGGGTCTCAACGGCTCTCTGCTTGATCGTATCGTCTACATCATGGAGCAGTACGCGAGAGCCGCCGAAGGAGCAAGCCTTTTCAGGCTGGCACAAACATGGCGTATTTTGAGCTTCACCATGACGCTCCTCCTCAAACGACGTGCACAGTATCACCTGGAGACCCGCCTGTCTCGATATCAGCGCATCAAGCATGACACAGGGCGGACCCCCAGAAAAGAAAGCTACGGGGCCGCTACACAAGACAACTCGACAAGGCTGAACAGGAGTCATGGTCCTGACCGATTGTCTGCGGCAGCATCCGACTTGGACAGCACATCCAACGTTGCCACGCCCCTTGCTCGGCCGGTCGATAGCTCTACAGCGGCATACCGGGCTACATCAGGCAAGATGCTGACGCCCATTGCCGAACCCGAGTCCTTCAGTTTGGGACCCAACGTGCAGGAGCCATTCTCGTCCAACGGCGAAAGGTCGAGACCTCGCCAATGGCTAAACTTCAACGCCATCTCCCTCGCCAGCGAAGACAGCGACAGGTCCAAGCTGTCCATCACGGAAGGATACGATTTCTACGACATGGAGGCTCTATCGTACGCCGTCGGTCTTCCGATAGGCCCAGGCGAAGGCGGGGGTAGGGTGCAGAGGCACGATTCGACCGACAGCTACGGACAGGTGTTTTCTATATCCGAAGGATCGCGGGTGGCGGGAAGCCCCAAACGACACCCCAGTCTCCAGCAGAGCAACACCGTGGGTAGCGACGGGAGTGACTACCACAGCCGTATCCGCGGAGAAGAACTGGCCGAGCCGCGCCGCAACAGCAAAGCACACGCCGTGTCTGACTCACCCGATGACGTCTTCATGATATCGCAGGCCACCATGCGATCGGGCGACTACGCATCATACCCTTCGCAACCGTCATACCCTTCCCAAGACTCGGAGAGCCAGCTAAACCAGTCAGCAGCAGTCGGCACGACTACCAAACCGCCCCCCACCATACCACCACGCCACCCGCATCAGAAGAGCCCCCAGATGCCCCCCGAATACTGCGAACCGTCGTCCACCTTGATCGATTCGGATTACCTCCCGTGGCCCGACGACCCAGAATACCCGCACCCGCTAACGACGTCCGGCTTCAAGGCGTCTTCGATTCCGCCGCTCGACCCGTACAGGCTGCTCGCGCGGACTCTAGAGTTCGAATCGCGCACGTCTGCCCTCAACGCGTCAGCCATGGTTCTACTGCTCCGCCCGCTCGTCGCCGAGTCCGTCATCGACACCTTCCAGGCCACGGCCATCCTGCGTCAGCAGCACTCGCGCCTCTCACGCATGGGCCTCTTCACCGAGGCCGCGCTGATGCGCAAGCTGTGCGTGCGCGGATGGCCAGCAGGTCTCCCCTCGTGGGGCGACAACTACCCCGTCATCTTTGCCGCCGCACAGCGTGACGTGCGCGTCTCGCTGGCGTGCTCATCGTGCCACCGCCCGCGGGAGGTTGACCCTTCCGACCCGGCCGCGTCGGTGTGGGTATGCGAGCGGTGCCGAGCCGTCATGGCTCCCTGCGCCGTGTGTGGCCACCGCGACGCACAAGAATCCTCGTTTGACCCGATCGACAGCTCGTCCTCCTCCGAGATTGACAAGGGCGGACCCCCCCTCCTCTCGGGGTGGTGGTACTGCCCCGGCTGCACGCACGGGGGCCACGCATCCTGTCTAGAGACGTGGCATGCGTCCGACGCCACGTCCGACACCCCCGCCAAGTTCAGCGAAGGCTGCTGTCCGTCCGACGGGTGCGGCCACGCCTGTCTGCCCGGGAAATATCGCGGTGAGACGACGACGGCGCGGTCTGAGGACCTGGCCCGTGCCGCAAGCGACAGGTTCTCGACCACACGGTCGGGGAGCGGCGCCGCCAGCCCGCGACCGGGAAGCAGCATCGTGAGCTCCGACGGTTTCGAAGTGCCGCAGAGCAGGGCCGTCGGCGTCGCCAGGGAAGCCCTCAACAACAGCGCCAACAGCATCAACAATAGCGGTGCAGGCGGCAGTTCAAGCAGCGCAGGTATCCTGAGTACCAGTCCTGGCAGGCCGGGGCCAGGAATGGGCGAACGTGAGAGGAGGAAGAGCGTCAAATTTGCTAGACCGGATCGGTGATGAAGTGCATGTATGGTATACAATAATATATAATGATATGAACAGGCGTCTTGTTCTTTTTTTCCCCTTCTTTTTTTCCTAACGTTCAACATGATGATTACAATTATATAGATGTCAAAGGGGG